TGACCCAGCAGGCTGTCACAGGTACACACCTGACGACAGGAAGTGACCCAGCAGGCTGTCACAGGTACACACCTGACGACAGGAAGTGACCCAGCAGGCTGTCACAGGTACACACCTGACGACAGGAAGTGACCCGGATCCTGCAGATGAAGGGTTCTGTCCGGAGGACTGGGTTTACAGCAGGACTGAAGTGGATCAGGTCCTGTCTGGTCTGAGGTGGACCAGAGTTCAGGTGTTTGTCAGGTAGTGCAGAAGAGTCCAGGTCCAGACTTTACTGGTCTCTGGCTCCTTGTCTCCTCTGATTACTTTAATCTGGTCTGAAGATCTTAACTCCTCACAGCTGAGAGCACAGAGTCATGTGGGAGCAGGTGGCAGGGACACCTCCTCCTCCTCCTCCGGACCTCTTCGGTTCTGTTGGTATGACCCGGCTCCCCCTGACTGTGCTGGACTGACAGACCCAGACTGGATCTGCTGTGAAGGTTCTGGTTCTGGTTCGGACGTGAAGAGGAGCGAGCAGAGCGCTGGAAGAATGGGAGCTGTTTATGGAAAGAAGGTCAGTGGATTCAGTTCCTCCGTCTGACTGGTCTCTGAAAGACTTGAACTGGATCCATTCATCTGAGTCCTGTTCATGAAATGGAGCAAAGCCTGACCTTTGACCCTGCAGGGGGGGGGGGGCTGACCTTTGACCCTTCGGGGGGTGGGGACCTGAGCAGGCTGTGCTGTGGTTCAGAAGTATGTGAAGAATCTGCTGGAACACATCAGATAGGACAGGATCCAGTTTTTCTGGGTCAGAGGAACAGTCAGATCCATCAGATGAGTGACAGCTGCAAGTATGGAAGCCTGTCTGGGTCAAAACAGGACAGAAGAATGTTTGTTGGTTCTTCTACTAAAATCCACAAGTTTCAACTTTAAGCTCATTTTTAGAGAAATGTTTTTCCAAACAGCAGCAGGTCTACATCAGTCTGAAGCTGTGTGTCAGGAACGTGTTCAGGTGCAGGTCTACAGGTCCAGTTCTTCTCTGGGTTTCAGACCAGGAGCCTGGTTCGGTTCAGACGAGCCCTGATGAATTGAACCAAGAGAATCTGTTCTGTTTCAGCAAAAACCAAGGTCCAGACAGGAAGAAGTTACAGTGAGATGTTAATTTTCCTGATTTCACTTTATAAATCATTGATTGTTTGGATAGAAATCAGTTACAGAGTGAGACATCTTCCTGTCTCCTTCCCCTAAACAATCTTTGTTTTCAGCTCATTTGAAACTTGTTCTCAGACTCCCATGCTGCCACTCTTCAGAGAAGATGAAAGAGGAGAAAAACTTACTATTACCCCCTTAAATACCCTTTCTCATGACTGGAGTCACCTGTGTGTGGAGGTCAAGGGTCACTGAACTTAACAAACCTAATCTTTGTTCCAGTAATTAATTCTAAAGGTTTTGAACTCAATAAAATGACAACAGTGTCCAAATGTATGCAGCTGTCTAATTTAGTTTATCAGTTACTGCAGACTTTCTGTAAATCGTGTTACGACCCAGTGGCTCAAAGAGAAGCAACATAAACAGGACGACCAGACAACAGGTGCAGTTTGACTTAAAAAGGTTTATTAAAACTAAAAGTTTAGTTGTGAGAGGACACCAGCTGATCTGCACCCATGCAGCTGAAGGAGGAGAGGACAAGTCTCCTCCTCCTCAGGAGGAGGTGGTCCTCTTAAATAGGCTGTTCACACCTGCAGGTGGTTGATGATTACAGGTGAGAGTCTCGTAACACCCCCACCCTTAAAATGATTGCTCTAAACAATCAAAAACAAAATCCTAAAAATTGTACTTCGTACATCTAAGTACAACATTATAAAAACATGTAGTCTGGAAGTTTGTCAGTTACTGGTTGGACCTGAAAACAGCAGGACACCTGAAACATCACAACATTTAACACAAGTTCTGTGTTAAATTTGTTTTAACAAGTTCTCACTGGAGCCGTTCACAGCTGAGTGTGAAGCAGCCGGGATGAGGATCAGTGCCTCCAAATCCCAGACCACGGTCTCCAGCTGGAAAAGGGTTGGGTGTCTTCTCCAGGTCAGGGAGGAGGTCCTGCCCCAAGTGGAGGAGTTTGAGCCTGGACTCCTCCCTGGTGAGGTGTTCTGGACACGTCCCACTGGGAGGAGACCCAGAGGAAGACCCAGGACACCCTGGAGGGACTATGTTTCTCAGCTGGTCTGGGAACACCTTGGGATTCCCCCAGAGGAGCTGGTCCAAGTGTCTGGAGAGAGGGAGGTCTGGGTCTCTGCTGAGGCTGCTGCCCCCGAGACCTGACCCTGGATCAGAGGAAGAAGATGGATGGATGATGGACAGATGGATGGATGGATGATGGACAGATGGATGGATGGATGATGGACAGATGGATGGATG